AACCTGAATATGCAGGGTTCTTATGTTTACGACATCAACGGAATAAGTATCTAGATTCTCTAGCAGGACTGTGGTGTACAAATTTAGGTATGTACAAATACATTCTTTTGAGTGTGATTTTTGTGATTATGTACCAGGGAGTTGTGCATTCTTTGAGATAATATCCTGCATCACATTTTATTTTTGTGCATTTGAGAATAATGTATACAGTCTAATTTCATTCCTCTTCCATGAACTATTCATGATTTCTTCAGGTGGTGGTGAGCCTCGATTAGTCAAAGCTACAACTGACCAATTAAACAAGTTACCCTTCTATCACTCCTTCTGGAACCGTACAACCAAGCGAACATTGGTTAGTTTCTGCATCTCTTATTGACTATCAGTCTGTTAAAATCACTTTCCAACTTTGCAAATACTGATGATAGAAACGGGCTGGTACTTTCAGGATCTTGCAGATGACCTTCTTAGCATGTTTACTGCAAGCAAAATGGGAAAAGCATTCTTCACAAACAGTTGTTCAGAAGCAAATGACTCACATGTATGATTGCCGGGACTACTGACCATTTCCTTCACTATTACATTGCCCATGATAAAAAAAATTAGAGAACGTGCAAACATATTGTTTATTAAGAAGGTTGGCGGTCACACATACAAGTTGTGTTGCTCTTAGTATATTTCACAGCTAAATTTGTCTGAACTTACTAGAGCCTCAAGTAGTCAAAATCTGCAATCTTAAGTGCACGTTTGGAGCCAGTGGTAGGAGCAGGTGTTCCTTTAAGTATTCTGTTCTTATGTTTTATTTGTAAAATCTGAAACAATTTTTATTTGCACCTTCTATCCCTCCTTTTGGAACCGGCAATAATCAACATTGGTAATTAAATTTCTGTATATTTAATTGATTATTGTTTCGCCTCCATTTACTTTTGATAGAGGAGGGCATGTTAGTAATTTCTGTAAATTTCTGTATATTTAATTGATTATTGTTTCGCCTGACCATTGATTTTTTGAGTTCTTTAAAAGAGTATTCTTCTTGGCTTGCAGGTCGCCGCTGGAGCCGGACAAGATCACGGCTTGCCTTACCTGGTGACGTACTGGCTAGGAAGAGTGCAAGCTGCCACCCACACGTACCAGATGGTGCCGTCAAGGACGTTGTCGTACTGACTGCCGATGATCTACAGGTAATCAGTTTTTCCTTAGCTTCTGTTATTAGTCTTTTTTTCCCTATGAATTGTTTGACTCGTGGTTGCTTCTACAAGATAGCTCATCTTTTAGCTTGAAATGTTGCCATGAAACTTATGCCCGTTATTCATTTATGATGGTGGTTTGGGTACCAAGCTCAGTTGTTAAACAATTTATGCTGGTGGTTTGGGTACCAAGCCCAGTTGTTTTTTATAAATGATTACATGGTACAATATATCAAACCAGATTTTCACTTCTTTAATGGAGCTTTTTAGCATTCATATTTTTTTAATAGCTGCTCCTATATTTTTGTCAGTGCTTGCTGTACTTTGTTTAAATGTTTCTTCTTGGTAGGATCAATTCTAAATAGTGGATGTAAGAACGCCTTTTCAAGCTTAAGCATTTGATTTTTGGCGATACAGTGTTTTCTCCTTACAGATGACCTTCTGCTTTCTTATTTTAATAAATAGACAAGCTGAATGCAGTTGCCGCCACTCATGTCGCTACAGGAGGAGTGCGTGCAGGGGGAGTGGCGGGTCAAGGTGCTCTCATCGGCGCCGCTGCTGACCGGCAGATCCAGGCGCACCCTCTCGGTGCGCGCAGGGGGGTGACAGGCCAAGGTGCGCTCGCCGAC